TTAGTCTTTTTATATGAGCGTGGTTTAATACTAAATACTTTTTATTCCCCTTGTTTGATACTATCAAAATATAGAACTAGAATACACACTATTTAACATTTCCATAATTAACCAATGTATTTTACATGCTGAGATGCAGGTTTATAACCTAGATCGGGTGTAGACACGCCCATCGCTCTTTGTGACATGAAATAGAATGTCTTCGATTTTAAGTACCTACTTCTGCTATTATATTAAACTTGCGAAGAGCTTCTCAATAAATTATTATTTTGTCTCTACATGAAGCACGTTCAGAAAAAGGTTCAGAAACAAGTAATCCTTGAGTTTGTGCCCTATGTTTTTATATCGTTCAGAACCTTCTTATCATTACACAATGGATCGTGTGAACAGAGAAGCTTCTAAGAAAATCTTTCACTCTAATTAATCCAAGTGTATACTTTGATTAATTGAAGCTGGTACTTGATAACAATCGTTAGATTCTAGCTGAATTGATGCTTGTCCTACAATACTTCAAAATTTCACGGTGGGAAAAAAGCTACTTTTTTTCATTATGCATAATGATAACGAAAAAAATAGTTGGTGGTTCCATTTTTTCTTGCAATATCACATTTATTTATATTATTAAATATGTTGGTGAAATATTCTGATGTTATAAAACAGTTTTACCAGTGGCGCTTTGATCCGCATGAAGAAGAAGTTAAGTGAAATACAATTATTAGTAAATTAGTAGCTAGGGAGTGTTAGTTGCTTATTTTAGGCGTGGAAACCTTTTCACGCCATTTTCCCGTATACCGGGATTTGCGGTTAGGCGATGTTTCAGAATCAACTAAAACCACATGGTGTGCCGCTCCGCGTCTAAAATAGGAGAACTTCGGAACAGCTCTTATTAAGACATTCGGACCCAGATTGGAGTTTGACCTGTGGTAACCTCCCCGTAGCATCACTCCTGTCGAGCCGGTCCAAATGTGGCGAAAATGTCCATCCCAAGGTGTGGAAATATAAATTAAAGGTTTAAAGTACTTAACATAAAGCTGTTTCCCGACGCAGTATCAAAGTTAAATAAGCTATTACTAGTTGCATGTAAACTCGTTGGTCCATGTGACAATAACCCCTTTTTTTTCTGTGCGGAACTCCCCTCGGGTACCACCCACCAGTGGGTGAATAACCCCTAACAAGCGTGTGTCGTGCATTTGAAGTAAAGGTGATAACTTTGTTTTTTCTTTTCTAATATTTTACAATAAATATTTATCTTATATTATCAATAAACTTGATATTTTTACAAATGAATTCAATAGTTTACTAGCAGCATTTAATAAATGAAGCTTTAAAAAAAATTAGTTAAAAAGTATTTATAAGAATTTTAAATTTGTTAAAATTATTTCATAACAGTGCACAAAAATGTCCGAAATCGTTAATTAAAAAAAAGTAATTGAAAAAGTTGCCGTAACAATAGTGCAAATCTACAACTGCCTATCGTGCAGTAAGATTCTGTGCGATAGAAATCCAGAAGTATACACAATACATACGCACTATAGAAACCTACACATACACAAATTTAATATTATATAAAAATACACAATCGAGCACTTTTTTCGCCTAATTCGCGTATATATAATGATGTTCTCAAGGTCAAGGAATTGTGTAATGTATGTAGGTACATATGATGTTGTTCTAATTCGTGTCTTTTATACTATTTATTTTTTTTGTTCAACGGCTCAGCCAGTCTTTATTAGCACATGTAAATCAGTTACTTCAATAGGATTGCTTTCGCAAAAATTATAGTTCCTAAAAGTTGTAGTAAACCACTACCTTCTGTCCGCCCTATGGCAATATTGACTTATAAGGTATTCATGAATGTATCTTCAACATCAACACATATTATGGTGTTCAATGTTTAAAATAAATAAAAAGCGTGTCCCTTTTATTATAATTATAGTATCTTAGTAGCTTTACAAAATCTGATTTTTAAAATGAAGTAATATTTACTAAGGTTACCTTTTTTTTTTAACGTGTGGAAACCCCCTCGGGCCGTCACCACTAAAACCACACGGTGTGCCACTCTGCGCCTGTAATAGGAGGGATCCGGGAACTGCTGTTATTAGGACCTCCGGACCCCTCCTAGCGCCTGCCCGCAACGATGCGGGCACCACCTTCAGGTACATTCTCTATTTAGGCGACGTCCGGCACACGCGGACGCCGCCCCCTCGCGGTTGGCCAAACTAATGCGGGTGGAGGGGAGAACCCATCCCGGCCACACTCAGGGCGGCATGAGGCGCAGGTGAGCGCGCCTCCGCCGCCTCCGCCGCCTCCTTCTGCGAGATGACGTCTTCACAGAAGGATGCGACCGCGGTAAAACATCTGTCGCTACCGGCCATGGAGCGTATGACGGCTGGTAGCGAGGGATCCTCCCCTGCAATGACTGCAATGAGGACCCGGCGCTGCGGCGCCCAAGCCGGGCAAATTGCCAGCGTGTGCTGAGCCGAGTCCTCACTGCAGTCGCAGTGGTGGCAGGCGGGACTCGATTCCCTCCTAGCGACCGAGTACAGGCACTTTCCGAAGCAACCGTGCCCGGAAAGCACCTGCGTCAGCCGGAAGGAAAGGGTCCCGTGCTGCCGCCCTGCCCACTCGGCGATGACCGGCTGGAGAGCCTCCACGGTGGCGAAGCCAGCGCGTGGAGTCTCCAGCCGGAACGACCATCTCACCATGGTGGCTCGGCGAGCGGCTTCGCGCCACTCGCGCACGTCTTCGGGCGGAGGGCGAAATCCGCTCTCCGCCCGGAAGTCAGCCACTCGCCGATAAACTTCGGCGAGCACTTCCGCCTCCAAATCCCACGGGGGTGTTCCGGCCAAGGCACAGGCCGCCTCGGTGGACACCGTGCGGTATCCGCGTATGGCTCTGACCGCCAATATCCTCTGGGGGCGCCAGAGGCGCGCCCTATTCGGGGCGGTCAGAGCCGCCACCCACACCGGTGCACCATACAGCGCCATGGACCGGACAACCCCCGCGTACAGCCGCCTCGTGGGAACACTGGCCCCGCCCAAATTGGGCAAAAGTCGCCCTAGGGCGGAGGCAGTGTCCACCAGCTTCGGACCAAGCTGTCGGAAGTGCTCGTCGAAGAGCCACCTACCGTCTAGGACCAGACCCAGGTACCTCATCTGGGCCCGGACCGGTACGAGGACCGTGCCGACCTCGATTGAGGCGCCGGCGGGTGGACCACGACGGGGCCCATGAAATAATAGGGCCTCCGTCTTATCCAGGGCCACCCGTAATCCCAACGCCTCAATGCGCCCGACCACCAGGGAAACTCCCGTGGCGGCCAGGCGCGCCGCTTCCTGGAAGTTAGCCCCCCGGGCTGTGACTAAAGTGTCATCCGCGTAGCAGATTACACCCAGCCCGGGGGGGAGACGCCCTCGTAGGGCCCAGTCGTACCCGATGTTCCACAGGAGAGGTCCTAGGACAGACCCCTGCGGAACACCGCACGACATGGCCCTGCGTCTCAAGACGCCATCTCGGTCCTCGTACATGACGGTTCGCTCCTCAAGATAGTCTGCCACCAGCCGCCCCAGGTACTCCGGCACTCCGTGGTAGCGGAGCGCTTCCCTGATGCAGCTGAATGGCAGACTATTGAAGGCGTTGGCGATGTCCAAAGACACCGCCAACACCACTCCGCCGCAGCTCACAGCCTCCTCGGTCACGGCCCTAAGGCGCATCACGGCATCGATCGTCGAACGCCCCTCTCGGAAACCGAATTGGGCGTCCGACAGATCGGGGCCAACCTCGCAAAGGTGCCGGACGACGCGGGCAGAGAGCACCCTCTCAAAAAGTTTACCCGCCTCGTCCAGCAACACGATAGGCCTATAGGCCGCGACCGATTCGGCAGGCCGTCCCGGCTTCTGCAGCAGGACTAGCTTCCCGCATTTCCAGCGCTCAGGGAAGCGTCCGGACGCCAGGCTAGCGTCCAACACCCCCCTGAGGTGGACCGACATGTAGTCGAGGGCTCGGGCCATCACTCGGGCTGGAACCCCGTCCGGCCCGGGGGCAGTGTTCTTGGATCGAATCCGTAGAACAGCCGCCCCCAACTCCGATTCCCTGACGGGCGGAACATCAACCTCGCTGCCCCCGTCGTCTCCGGCTGATGCAGCCATCGACGGGGGTGTGTGCTCCGCCCGCTGCGGGAATAGGCCCTCGACCACTTCCTGCAGGAAGCTGGGCTGGAGAGTCTCCGTAAGGGGGGGGCCCGACGTGCGGAGCTTTTGACGCACCGCACGATAAGGGCGACCCCAGGGGTCACGCTCGAGACTCTCCAGCATCTCCTCTCTACACAACTTGACATAAACCCTATACCAACCCGTCTGGCCCGCGTGGTATAGTAGGCTACTTGTCCAAGAAGAAGCCTATGTCCAGCAGTGGACAATTAAAGGCTGTTGATATGATGCTGTGATTGTTTGCCTATTTGTTTAATGGTTGGCGCTTTACTACTTATTACGTATCTGGGTGTAACTGATATATATCATGAATGTATTCAAGCACATATAAGTTTCCCTTTTTTTTTTTGGAAAAAGACAACTCCCGCACTATAAATATATCTTTAAAACATAACAGAAACGGATACAAAGAACACCCAGACTCAGAACAATAATTTGTGGATTACACAAAGTGTTGTCCTATGTAGTTATCGAACTCCCAACACTCAGTGCGGAAGGCAGCGGCAAGGTGACCGCTGGAACCAGTCTACTACTTTGCGATTTTTTATGTAGACCAACTTTTTCATCAGACCTTTACAACCCAAATACTAGGGGATGTCGAAGTTCTGTAGATAGAATGTCGTCGGTTATTGTTGTCTTTTTAGGGCTCCAACTACTCCTAACATATATGCCATAAATGTTCGTATGGTAACCGGAACTGACGGTTTAATTGATTTCTCAAATTTTATAAAAAAAATTGCAGGTAATATTTAATTAACTGTAAAGAAAATATTTCATCTTAGTTATTCTTTTCAGGTACAGAGTCCAGTACTTGTGGTGGAGTTGAATCTCAACAGATTAGAAGGCACCCAACTCAGGGCTTTAGGGCTTTTGTCAGTGTTTGGATTCAATATAACTTATGCGGTGAGGAGTCCAGTTGAAGTGTCAACACCAACTCCGTGTAGCGCTATCCAGTGCAGACTGCTTGGACACTGTTACGCCAGACACGATTTCCAGTAAGGATTAGGATTAGGATGCATACATTTTATAATTTATTTATTTTTTTCATATACTAGGGCTGAATGACGTGTAACACAAAAAAACATACAGTCAAAAATAAGAACAAGAAAAACTTTATTTGTCCTTTTTTGTACCTTGTTCGTACTTTTATGACAATTCTTTAATAAAAATACCCAAATAATAAATAGAACTTGAAAGACAAAATGGTCTTGGACTCAGCAGGTGGATAACAGTGCAAAGCATGCCATCTTCTGTTATTCTGTTATCATGGTTAACAGTCTTAGAATAAGCACAGCGACAACATCCCGGCCACGTTTGTGTACGTAAACATTATCACTCTACACTCTGGTGTGTTAGAGCAATACACAACATGTACACAAATAGTGTTAGAGCAATGCTCTGTAGGCATATTGTTATTTAATCTATCGTCTATGACATTAATGCAACTCTTTTAAAAAGCTTTTGTACATACATACATTCATAAAAAAATGAATAGATTATTCTACAAAACTTTTCACATCGCAGGGAATTTTTCTGTTCGTGTTTCGAGAGTTACTCTGGAGAAGACTGTGGAATAGGACCGCTCTGTACGAGGACGCCTAAAATGTGTAGAAACGGCGGCACCTGCAGGTAAGTGTTACGATGACCCGTCCTTCTCCATCACTTTTTTCACCTTTTTGATATTTTACTCGATATTTATAAATGAAGGTGGCCAGTTTCCTTTATTATTCTACCATTTCCTCAGAATAACGAATTTAGAGCTCTTTATAATGAAATTTTCCTCAATGCTTGCTGAGTAAAGTTTCAGTTCATTATAAAGTTAGATTTTGTCAAAATATTGAGGACTTTTATATTTTTGTTGATACCAAGATTTTGTGTTTGAAATTCTATAATAATATAAACTTTCGAACATGTTACTAGAAAAAGAGTTTTTTTTTTAAATACGCCAAAATATCGGACAATTTCATAATATTTGACTTTGACTGTAATTTAGTGTCCCAGAATATGTTTTACTATTAAATAATATTTACACCGGCAGACAAATGGGTCCCGCTACTATTAGTTGTATTTGCGCGCCTGGTTACACCGGCAATCTCTGCGAATCACAAATAGCACAACATGGTAAGCCCTAGATTACATTACATTTTGAGTATAATATCCTGTTACATAGGATTCTTTCTGACTTACACAAGTGTAATCATACTACATTTAAATCAAAATCTAAAGCCTACTTAACCAACGTAATATTCAACATGTTTTTAAATAGCTTTGTATTTCTCTTTTACGTGATATTATTGTAACCAAATGTATTAAATGTATTAAAACAAATAACTATATCCTTAGAATTGGAATTTTTGAATATTATATCTTCCTGGGAGAGCCATACTTCGGCAACGAGCAGAAAGGTTACCTGATGGTAAGTGACTACCGCCGCTCATGGAAACCTGCAACTCTTAAGTCACAAGTGCATTGGCGCCCTTTGAGTCCCTTACTACAGAATTAAGAGTTGGGGGATTTGGGCTTCGGTAACCACATTCGCTCGGTAAAAAGTAACGAAAGAAGTGCTTAACACCGGTTTTCTATGAGGCCATGGTATGACTCCGGTCGAGTCGCCCTATATCTGCCGAAATATGGCTCTCCCACGAAAACTTAATACTTAAGTTTAGATTAAACGTGGAGAAATGAAAAAACCTTATAAAGCAGAGTACAGCCTTCTTAAAGTAAAATACATCGTGTTTTCTTCTAGAGTGCGGCGCTGAAGAATGTTCAGAAGGATGTGCTAAAGAATACGGTTGTGATTGTAGTCCAAAAGATAAAGATTTTAGTACGTATAAAACTACGATTTGTTCGTTTCACAGCTATTAAAAAAAATTTATTTTTTTTACATTAAAGGTTCTTTAAATATTTTTAGCTTTAGCAAGATTTGACACAAGACTGCAAGTAGTGGATCAACCTAATATCAACATATCACAAGAAATTATTAAACAAGTAAGTATTTATAATACTCTTACAGATCTGTATCAGATACAAATACTTGGTAAACTCAATAAAAAATAACAAATTTCCTTACAGCTGACAAGCTATCTTAGAACTTCAAATATCACTTTAGACGATGAAATAGAAATTTTGAATATGAGGTGAGTTTCCATAACAATTCTTTTTTAACTAATATGAAGTAAATAGGGGTTTTCAATACGCATTGGCCTACGCAGGTTGCCCTGAGTAAACAATGCCTTCTTTTTTAAATCCAGCTGTAGCTGCCAGCTAAATCAAATGTGTTAGTATAGATAATACTAACATATTTGACTTAGCTGTTTTTTTGATTGTGTATTTGCATTAATTTCCCTAAATAAATATATTCGTATTGTATAGAAAATTTATTGAGAAGGCGACATACTCAACATTAGCAGCGGGGCAGCGATCATAATAAATTATAAACGTTCGGGGAGGTGTTGATATTTATATACCTATTTATGTAACTTAGTCCATTTACATTATGATAAACTGGACGAAAAATTCGGACCGGTAAAGCCGCGCCGATCACAGATCCAACACTTGAAGCCCTCGTTCTAGTGATATCTTGTAGACTTAGTTGAGCACCTCCATAACATACATATCAGCAAAACCTTTTACTTTAATTACATGATTTGACCTTCTCTGACAGTATGTGTCTATTTTTGTCCACAGTTCAGTAGGTGCCACCGGTGCTCGCATGGTTTATATTCGTGCGTGGAGTGCCAGGAACGCGGCAGATGCTTTGCGCGCTGCTCTGGCGAAGCTTGCAGCGTCCCGTAGCCGGCCTCACACGCTTCGTCTACTCCCAGACACACTGTATTTTGATATACAGCCCGCTCTTAGTTTACAAGTTAGAAATAATTATATAATGTGTAAATTTGAGTAGCCAAAAGTTTCAAAAGGAATTAAAGCTAAAGTCTCTGGTGATAACCCTGAGAAATTACCTTTAGAATTACAATTTACAAAGAATGAGACTACATTTCGTATATTGTCCGCAAAACTCTCTAAACTATGTATTTTAAAAACAATCTCTAAAACAATTTGCTTGGCTTATAAAAACAATTCTTGTTAAACTTTCTACGCAAAACTTAAGCTTTCCTCTCTGTTCGGTGCGTTATACATTTTACTGAACCCAGTGGCAGACAATTGATACTTATCAAAGATTGGGTATTTTTAACAAAACTCTAAGTAATTATTAAGGAAATAGGAAATGCAAGGATGGAACAGAATAAGCCCTGCTACATATTATGCTGATGCGAAGTTATGCCTCAGTGGGGATTATATCAAGTGTGCAAGAATAATTAGGTACACCGTGACAGTCTAGTTACAATATCTGACATTAAAAAAAAAATTCGTTCGAGAGACAAAGTTACTCTATCGTACCATCGCCATCGTCAATACGTTCAGTATTACTCGGTATCATCTGAAAAAAATTCACATCACATTCTTACATAGGAGTAGCATTCCATTATATCTCTCTATTTTCTAAATGTTATTTTATTTTAGGCATTGGCACTAAACCAACGTCCAGAAATATGGGAAGGATCAGAGTTCATACTGACCTGCATGGCGCACGGGTCTCCTGACATAGTTTTCACTTGGTACAAGGATGGTGTCAAAATTAATTTCAATGCCACCACAAGGTCAGTAACACATGCATCATGGATTTACTTACTTATAGTGTAGAAAAATCTATGTCATACGATAATTAAATAATAGGTAATAATACCTTCAGTGTCAAGGTGGTCTAGTGTGGGATCACCCACACTAGGCTGTACTATAGTAATCAGACTTCTGCTAAATATACGAGTAGGTACTTATATATTTTTAAATTCGTAAATGTCATAAATAAATTACACCCCGCCACAGAGCAAACGATCATGCATCATCAAATATTTGATAAAGAAAAAACGAAATTATGAGCCGTAAAGTTCTAAATAAGTTTTTATCTAGATCTATTATATTCTTTTGAAAAATACATAAAGCATTAGATATAGGCTGTTCTGCCAGAGTTCGCCGGGACTTCCTTCCTAGGTATACCCGAGTACATTGCAGTAGACTCACACACTACCGAGCACCATATGGTTTTAGTAGGTTCGATTCCAAAAACACACCACTTCACCGTGGGCCCCGGATTTCATACGATAAAAAAAATAGGTATTAGGTATACCTTTGCAATAATGAAAATACAGGTACTTCTTTTCCAACCATTCGGTTTATGTCCGCATAGTATGGTAAAAAATAATTACATTTATCCCGCTTTTGAACAATTTTCAATTTTTATGCAAGATAAATCGTAATAAAGAATAATTGCTTTAACCTTATTTTGATTATGGAACTCCTAGAAAAATCACTCGCATTTTACAGTATTATTTGCGCGTACAGTATAACAACGTCTTCAGGATGCTGTTGCGGCTGCCGCGGCATTGTAGTGCATCGGGCATGTTTGCCGAAACACGCACCGACGGGTTTCATGCTCTCATGCGTAAAAAATCGGCTTCCATGCTAAAGCGCTTGCGAAATACCCGGAACAGCGTCCTGAAGATGATTGCTAGTAGGCCAGACTGTCCTATACAAAGGCATTGGGTGGCAATAGCAATAGGAAAGCTTAGTTGAATGCCTTTCTACTATTAAGTGCCGTTACTAACAATACTAATATAGACGTTAAGTACTTTCTGTTTCTAACCCATTACTAAACAACCTATGGACTATATATGTCTGAAATAAAATAAAATAATAATTATTATTATTATTTTTCAACTTCTAACATATTCATATATTCCAGCGATTTGATAATAAGGGCGCTTGTTCTACGACAGCGACAGCTTAACGAGGTGCAGAGGGGTCGCCAGTGGCATTCACCCATGCAATTAACGGTGACTGTTATTCTACCGCACAGATAAATCGCCCAGTTTCCTATAACTCCTTTTTAACTAGATTGCTTTGGTTTAGGCCACACTCGACACCTGACTATAATATCAGCCGGAAATGTTTATGTAACTAGTCAAGTTTGTTTTAAAGTTAAAATATAATTTACAATAAAATGAAATGAAAATAAATATTGTGAAACCGTTTAAGATGACTTGAAAGAACCCATTTTTAAAATTGTTTCTTCAAAGTGTAAGCGTAAGCGTTCTTGAAATGTAAAAAAGTGTAAGCCGAATTGAGATGTGTGACGTTATTATTAATTATATATTTATAAAGTGAAAAGATATAATTACACTTACCACTTATATTGATTTCACAAAGAGAGTGTAATGCGTTATTAATTATATGACTCAATATAACTTGAACTTTGAAGTGTGTCTTTGCTTTCAAGTAAAGAAGTTACAATACTTAGTGCCTTAAAGCGTCAAGCTCTAACAATGTCTTATCGTTTAACAAAATCGGAGTTGATCCCTATTTATCTACGTTACCATCACTTAGAGCCTGAATGTTATTTATATCTTTATTTGTATAGATTTGATTTGTTTATTTTCAATGGAAAAATATGTATATAAAATCTGCAGTGTCATATGGTTCTCTTCTTCCAATACATAAACTTAACTTTCGCATAAAATAACACAAGTTTACATTTAAAAGGGATGAAAATTTATGAAAACAGTTTTCAGGAACTAACGCTCATCTTTACATAGCATAAAATAAAGTTGATTTTTTTTAGTTGTACACTTATACCTTTCACACTATGCAACGGATTTTAATACACTTTTATTAATAGAGAGAGTGATTCAAAAGGAAAGTTTATATGTATAATACATACATATTATAGTAGAGAAATTCCGAGAATTTCCAAGATTTGTCTTATAAAACATGCTAGCTAGCAACAATACACAAATGCTAGCTAATCCTTACGAGATAGAGATCTACAAGAAAGTCTGCGATATTATATCTCCTAAGGATAACCCACTGTAACCATTTTGATCGTTTAATTACAAAATAACCCTATTTAAGAAAATATTTTAAACAATATCACGCTAGATACGTTGTGCATTGAATGTAGATAAAATTGCTCTGTACAGTATATCATTAAAATAAATATTTTAGAAGATATTAGAGGTTTAAAGTGCGGCAGTCCACACTGACACCACATTAGTAGTATCTTCATTATTCATTGCACCCGTGCGAAGCCAGGGCGGATCGCTAGTTTCTAATAAAAACAGACAACAGATACTCTCATTTTCGACCTAAAAGCAAAAACTCGCATCATACAAAAAAAAATGAAACCACCACGGGATTTACATCTAATTTAATCGTATATAGTTCAAAGAATTTAAGTCGATTGATCCAGTGCCAAATAAAAAACAGTTTTGCTTTTCAATCCAAATAAATATTACTAGTGTAATCGTAAACTCTGTGTTTAGCACTCTTCATAAGTATTCAATGACATTATAAAACCTAAATCCACTACTATTTAAAGATATCTCTTCCAGAGAAATTTGGACACGCATAGTGGCTGAAGACAAACTAGGTCGCCGTATGTCAGTGTTGGCAGTGTCAGGGGCTCAGCAAATAGACGGTGGGACGTGGTCATGTGCTGCTGATGATTCTGGCAGAAGAAGATGTCGAGCGCTTACTCTGACAGTGCTTACACCGCCTTCTATACGACTTATACCATCAACACTTACTGTCTACAAGGTACAGAATTTACAATCTGACTGTGCGCGTATAAACAATAAATAATTAATTAATTAAATACAGAGTGAAAGATTATATTCAACTAGCATAATATCTCATTCTCAAAATCTGCAAATTTGTCGTAAAGAATTATATTATCGTATATTTTACTTTTTCATTTGTTTTCTCTCTCTCTTGCTCTCTGATAACTTAGAAGAAAACTTTGATTATTTTATCCAGGGAGACAATGTCACTATTACATGCCTAACCGGTGCGGGACGCGCTCACGGTGTATTGGGTTTTAGTTGGGCGCGAGAAAGGAGCTTGCTACGGATGCAACCAGACAGACATGTTTGGGAGGATCTATATCCATCGGGTAGTGTGCTTAAACTTTATAATGTACAAGTGAGTTCGTTTTGTTATATATATTGACATGTTATGATGCTTCATTAAGGTCGTTGTTGGATATGTTAGAAATGATTTCAGAAATCGAGTGAATATCGATGTCAAGTTTCGTCTTCGGCGGGCACTAACTCCGTGAGTGTTTGGGTATGGGCACTTGACGATAACGATGACGCATGCGAGAGCGAGTCGATGGTTGGTACCTTATGGGCCAGGACAGCTCCCGGTGCCTATGCGTCGATTACTTGTCCTCCTGGATACAGTGGTGAAATTACAAGGTAAAAACGAATGTTTCAGAAATGTACTCAAAAGAAATATTGTCAACCTATGGAAGAATTTAAAAACTGTAATATTTTTTTAGGTTTTGCGAGCCGAAAACAGGTCAACATGGTGTCAAGTGGATGCCATTGGATTATTCCGGTTGTATTGCTGATCCACTTAAAGATATCTATGAAAAGGTAAAATAAATAACACGCTCTCTTAATTTGCCTACCAATGGGTTTCTTCACTGTAAATCTTATTGTTCGCAGTTCACACTGATCTCTTATGGATTCTCGTGGGATAATGTATCGGAAGTCACTCGGCAATATTCATCAGTGTTACGCTCTTTGTTTATACCTGAAGGAGCAGGAGTTACTCCACTGCGTCACGCAGCACATATGTTACAGTACTTATTGTCAGCCGCAGTACAACATGACGATAAAGCGCACAGCGTCACACATTTGCTTAACATATATGATTACTTACTAACTCAACCTGATGCATTCGTGGATGAGCAAGTAATAATAAATTATAGTGATCCGTTGCCTCGTACTGCATCAAAAATATTGACAAAATAATCATTATTTTCCTTTCAGAAAATTTATGAACTTCAAAATGCAATACCAAAGGTAGCAAGTATAACAAGGAAATTAGAACTGCATCTGCATTCATTCAGTGTAAGAAGTGAGTCAAGTATGCATATGGAGCTAGACCACAGTCTAAAGCAACACAGCTCAGCCGAGTGGCGTCTAGAGTCAACGCGTGTGGACTTGGCATTTATTGCCAAGAACCTTACTATAGTCACTGTCTTTTATCAAGATCTGGGATCCAGACTACCATCTTTGAGAACATTAACTAAGCATAGGTAAAATTTATAATCTTAGTTCTGAACTCATTGGCGTTTTGGTCTCTTTTCTAAATGTGTTTCCGTTTGACAGCGGTGTTAGCGAGGTGCAGTATGCGTTATGTTCGCAGCAAGTTCAGGTGTACATTAGTGGTACCTCACTTGACCGTACACTACAACTGAGTGTGACGTTGTTACTAAAGCATTCTCTAAACTACAGTGCTGATGGTAAGTTCCTTATAAACATCTCTTAAATTGTATAGTTTGTACTTCAATTTGCTAAATGATGTGATAAACTAAACTGAACCGGTAAACGGAAGACATAAAGTCTTAATTTTTAAATATACATATATTTAGAAAATTAATTTAAAACATTTGCTTGATCATTGGCAGCCTCAAAATTAGCGTGTGGTTTTCGCTCCGCGGCGGTGCCGGGTGTGTGGCGCGTGTCTGGATGTGATATTCGAATATCGCAGGGATTGCATGCGATATGCCACTGTCGCGGCGCGGGTACTTTTGCATTATTCACACAAATCAGCTCTACAAGTGTGAGTATATCAAAATTTTGGCAATTTCGAGTTTCACAATCCAATACACAAACTCAACTAAAAATATAAACTCTTTTAAATCCTTTGTAATCAACGTGAAATATATTCGTTACAACGTCATAATTGTAATAATTTATCTCCACCAGACAGATAGTAAGGAGGATCTCCACGGCATACTAGTGATATGTCTCAACGTGAGCGGTGCTATGTGCGTTTGTGTAAGCATAATACAATTACTGAGCATCATGCCTGCCACTGCACGGCGTCGAGATACTATGTATGCGATACTTGCGGCGGGTACTGCCACGGGGAACGCTGCTGCTATGTTTGCATTGTCTAATTGTCATGACACTGAGGTATATTCACTGTTAATGTAACAGATTTTTTCTGCATTAGATATACTTTAAAACAATTCTTTTTATTTAAGTAGGTGTCTCTCTCGCGTTTTTACGTATGGGTGGTAGCAGTAAGCTGGTGCATAGCGAGCGCAGCGTTGTGTGCACAGCCACTATTACTACATGCAGAGCTTGCAGGGACAGCACAGCGAAGTCACTCTGTGGGACTATTGGCCGGTAAGTGGATACTCCTGTAGTATATTAGATAGATGAGATCAGACACCAAATTTCTCGTTGGATTACAGGTGTTTGCGTGTTGTGCTGTTTATCGGCGCGAATGTGGGGCGATGCTCCTCTAAAAGTAGGCTCCGCGGCAAACAGTATATTCGCAGCGGGCATAATTATACTCACAGTACTAACTCTAGCACTAGCTTTATGTGCACGGAGAATGCTAGAACACGTTACGCGGAAGCTACCATTGGATAGAAGGACTTACATAAGAAACAGGTAAATCGACTGTAATTGCTAGAAGTCGTAATTTTCCTCCTATTTCTCTTAGAAGTCTGAAATAGATTGGTCGTATTTCAGAAATCGAATAGTGAACAACACGCTGGCGCTACTTCTGACCTCAATGTCTACAATTGTGGCAGGAGTTACATACGTACAGCCTGGAGATAAGCTAATCATGCATATTCTCGCGCTCTCGGTTGCAGCCTTTGCTAATGTGAGTGCAAGAACTTGATTTTATATCCATAATTTAATTTAAATTTATCCCAAAAATAGATGAAATCTCTTATCTATATATTTTAATTTGTACTTCTCTCGCTCAATTTAATCTCTCAATTGTTTCCATATGCAGGGTGCTGCAATGCTCGTATGTTACGTTATACGTGACGAGGAATGTCTGCGAGCGGTACGGAGTAAACTACCGCTCCACGACAGCACAGTCTGGCAAGATTCACCTGCTGGTGATACTTCTATTAGCTGTAAGTATTTTCCTAAAAACAGTTTTGATAACGTTCACCAAGAATGACAACTGCGTGATATTTAAAAAGCTGTTTTTTTTTCAGTATACATAAAGCAAGGAGGAGAAGTTGAGAGTCGCGGAGGTGTAGTTATGTTAGAGCCATCACCCGTTTCGTCCACTGCCAGATATTGGCACGCCACACCCCTAGAAAGAAGAAGATCTAATCCTGACAGTCGAGCTGATATTGTAAAATGTGTAGAGTATAAGTCATCCGCATATGGTGGGGCTCGATACGACACACATCCACGCTCAGTATGTGACTTGATACCGACCGGTGTTGTGAGGTCAGACCACGCGGGGGAAGAATACCTGGCCACAGTATGCTTAGAAGTAAACCCTTATCACAAACCTGTTGCAGTAATGTCTTCCTTGGAGCCATATACAGAGAAGCAGTTTGACATTGCAAAGGTATAATAGAACAAAAGTATTCATCTAAACTTTTCTCTCAGTAATGAAACTTTATACTTATATTAATCGTTTTTCTTTTATTTATTTTTTTAGGAAACATGTGCAATCTGTGTACAATCAAACCCAGATGTTTCAAAGATAACTTCAGCGCCCGTAAAAAGTTGTCTCAAGAAAGGCTCGCAGAAGTTTACGTCGAGCACATCACTGCCGTCCATCGAGACAATCAAAGAAGAATTCGATAAAACACACATAGAACAAATCAACCAAGAATGGAATAAGACTTATGACAATCCACACACTAGTAAAGTACTAAACAAAATATCTACTGACTTGGATTTTCTTTTAAACAGAACACAACAGACCAACACACCTCATCAAGAAGAGGAAGCACCAACTTAATGGTGACTTGAAATACAAGTTTACGTTAACCAATAATATGGAAACAGGGGTGCAACATGCTAAAATTAGTAATAAATGTAAATATTGTATGTAAATATAAATAATAAATAAAAATAATAAACATATATGTTACTGTAAAGACTCGAACTACGGTAAATCCTAAGATTTACAAACGAGTTATGGTAAAAGTCCGAATTTTGAGCTTTTACCACTATTCTCTCGGTAAATCTTAAAATTTACTTGAAGTAAATCTTAAGAGTGAAGTGAAACTATAAATGTCGATAAACAGACACGTTTCACCAACAATAGAGGGGATCTTTAATGGTCGCTGTTCTAACCTAACCGTAATTTAACTTTAAAATACTTATTGTTTTCTGACGAAAACCAACATTCACCAACCGCCTCTGGTAAAACCTAGCATGAAAGCAGTTTCTAATGGTTTCCCTTTTTATTAATACTTACATTTAACAACTCCTGTCAGTAAATCTTAAGTTTTACCGTAAGTATATAATATACGAATTATATGTAATAAGAATGTACATATTATAAGATTTTATGTATAACTATAAGTTTAAAATATTTTTTCACTATGACAATTAGATCTATAATAAGATTTATACAAAGAGAATGTAAAATAAACATACTGTGATACAATACAAGGAAAGTCTTTTATTTATATTAAAGTACCACAAACTGAATTGTATACAACTTAACTTCACATCGTGTCAAAGGATAAGTTTAGGAGGTCGTTGATCCGTTGATAAAAAAAATACTAATAAAATTCCACTACAGCATCATGGTTCAAAATAAAAACACAATGAACTGCTGCCAGGAGCCTAGAGGTGTTCAATGTACATTTTATATATAATGGAGTACCAGATCCTGGTTATTTTAAAGGAGATGTAACCAACATATCAGAGAATCTTATTCATCTCTTTGTAACATCAAACTTATAGGGCGACCATGCACTTGTAAATAGTGGCGTGCGTCGTCGCCCTTTGAGTTCTCTTCCAGGAATCTGGTGAAGAGGTTTAGGATCTTCACTCACTCTATGAAAAGCAATGAATGAACGGTTTTCTAAAAGACTGTAATGTCACTCTGCTCAAGCCGGCAAATTTATGCAGAAGCATGGCTCTTTTACGTAAAACTGCCTTTAAGCATCTAAAAGGAAACCAGATTAATATTATAACTGTTTTTTTTTAATACCTACGAATTGCTATCCATTTTGTGGGCTATTTCTTAAAAAAATCTGGTGTTAGGATACGTTTGCAAATTTTCCCACACTAGGTTGAGGTCGGCTTGAACTCTACAGGGACTGCCATCAGACCTCCACAACCTAAGTAATAGGCGATAACGAAGTTCTGAAGAAAGACTGTTGTCGGACGTTTTAGGTCCCCAACTAAACTTACAGATCTTCGTATGGCAACTGGGACCGACGGCTGAACGTACTCTCCGAACCACGGAGGGGTCTCAATGTGTTTAGAATAGTCACCCATCCATAGACTGACCTGGCAGGAATTGCTTAAATTTGCAATGTGTTAATCTACTCGATTACCACTTAGCCTCTAGTTTTCATATTTTTTATAGTATGTAAAAAGAAAAAAATCGGTGTGGTGACGGATTAAGAATACGTACTCCGTATTCTTAATCCGTCAACACACGATTACGATTTTTTCACTACTCCTATTCGTCCCGTGGGTGTCGTAAGAGCCGACTAAGGGAGCAAACTACGCAGGATAACAGCACTGCAAAGAGAAGGAAAACTTGACACAAATCCTATACCAACCCGTCTGGGCAGCGTGGTATGGTAGGCCAAAACCTCCTTTGTAAGGAGAGGCTTATGTCCAGCAGTGGCTGTTGATGAAAAATTACATAATTACATTCTTTTGTGGCTATTTAAGTAGATTATTTTTTAGTTTCATACGAATAAGGTTACTTGGAAGCTTGTGCAGTTAGAAATTATCCTTTTGGCACAGGCACTTTATAAACATATAAATTTAAAAGAATAAACTGTAAATCACACAAATAATTGTTCAAGTAAAGAGTCAATTAATTATTTTATACTGGACAGACGGAAACAATAAAGTTTCTGTTGTTATTGAGAATCTACCTTAATATCTTTCAGTGTAGATAATGGCAATTTGTAAGGACTGTGCGGATTTTATTTGTTCGAACGTCATGTGTTTGCTAAGTGTACGGTGTAAATCTTTTAACGAGACGTAAAGTCACGTTCAGGCATATGCAGTTATATTTTTGATCCAATCCATATTAAGCCTATATATAAACATCAAACATTACTTACACGTGCGTACGCTAAAAATAGTTTCGAAAAATAATTGAGAGGATTTAAATAAGGAAATAGTTGCCACATTGCTTTATTTACTAAATTCATAAATTACATGATAAATGTACACACACAGCAAACGAAAAATCTGGGTAGTTTTACATGACATGTGTGTGGTATTCCGTATACAAACTTTTTCAGACATGGATTTTTGGAACGAAGTTCCTATAGGGCTTAAAGGGATTACGCTAAAAAAAGCGTCGTACGGAAAAGCGTTAGTTACTTTCGTATTTACTGCCCGCAGAGCGAGAGAGAGTGAAAATAATCCGTGTACTTGTATTTTTATTTAACAACTCGAGAACAACGCATCGGAGATCGAGCCATGATACGTATGATTTTTAGAGAATTTGATGAGGAATAAAATGAGACCAGGTAGCCTTCTTTCTCTACGATCAATATTATTCGCTGCTTTCCTTTAAACAACTAGCTGTAGTTCCTTAGGAAAACAACTGTTTTTGTTTATATATCAAAAATTAAAAGAATTTATAGAAAAATACCTTGACCAAAATGTATAATAGAAATATTTGTCATTCGTTCCTATTAGCTGTCTCACGACACCACTTTTTTTTTCTTATATAAGCTAGATGTTATATTACTCTCTTCTCTTATTGTATTCTCCGCAATGTGTAATATTGCAAAGAGCTTTCGCGGATTTTTTCATGACCAGCCTCCTGCTGATATCAATCCTCCTTGGAATTATATTCGTTGTCATACAGGACAACCGATGAAAATAAATTATTAAAATAAAAAAAAGTGGCGAGGAAGAGAGACAGAGCGAGGGAACTAGAGTAGGAGAAACCCGAAATTTAATAGCAATTGAGATCGCAGTAGAACGAAGACTAGGTAGGTACATCTTCAACGAGGTCACTAAGACAGAAGTCATCTGACATTCCCAAGATACTCGCAATGCTTAATGAAAATGTGGAACTGTATTCTTTCTGCTGTCTATTATGTTAGAACTTACTTGACTAAATTAATTTATCCCAAAGCGAATATGCTCATAAAATATCTGAAAGATATTCCTTTGACAGTAAGTTTGTATCTAGTAATAAAAGAACCAAAATAATTGGTAGAGTTTACACTCCTTTAATTACTTCTGTAATAATCAGACATTACGTAATCTCGTCAGATTACAGCTTTCCCGTTCCCATTTATTTGATGATAACATTCCATTCGTAACCGATCATGTAGATAATGTTATCCTCTGTTCATTTGTGTATTATGTACTGAGTTAGGATCTGAAGTAGATTACATATTTTTATTAAGAGAAGGAAAATAAGCTAATAAATAAGCTTAGTATACTGTTAAGGGCTAAAAAACTATTATGTTCTTTTTATGGAAGAGGAGGCAAACGAGCAGACGGGTCATGACGGGACGGGATGATGGAAATGAACCCATGAACGTGTACTACTCAGGAGTCACAAGCGCATTGCCGGCCTTTGAGGAGGGAGTCATAAAGGTCGCATTTTTCTAAAGGTTTGAAGGTCGTATCAATACGATAATTTGTTCCACAGATTGGTTGTGCGAGGCAGAAAGTGTCAACGATTCGAGCCGATATCCAAAAGATCGATATGTAGCTTTGAAATGTAAAAGAAAAGTGTATTAGTATAAGCAGTTGTTGGTAACCCTAATAAATAAATATTCTCGTTAATATAGGCATGAATGATGTAAAAATATTCCTTATTATAAAAAGATAGTTGCTTGGAACTTGGTTCCAAGAAATACAGAAAAAGGCTAAACAAGTGAGTAGCATTATAACAAGTGAATACAAATACAGAAATGGTGGGGTAACCTCTACGGGCCTGTTGGTCTAGTGGTTAGTGACCCTGACTGCTAAGCCGGAGGTCATAGGTTCGATTCCCACCCAGGACAAATAATTGTGTAATGAGCACGATGATTTATTCTGTGTCTGGGTGTAATTTATCTATAATATGTATGTATTAAAAAAAGTATGTTTATCAGCAGTCTGGTTACCATAGTACAGGCTCTGCCTAGTTTGGGATCAGACGGCCGTGTGTGTGATGTGTGCAGTTATTATAATCTTTTACCTCAGTACGGGTACAGTAAGACAGGAGCTCCATTCCACCACCCTTGTAATTCTGTGTGGGAGGAGTACTCGGAAAGCGGGAGCGCAATTATGACTTTTGGGTCACAAGTGTCGACGAGCGGCAGTAGTCACTTACTATCAGGTGATTGATCTTCTCTGAAAACAGAAAAGTAAAATGTACGAGTATGTATGAAGTTTGGGTTGCAATTTTTATCTTTGTCTAAACTAACTTTACACTAAAAAGCTTAGGACTAAAGAAAACCTAAACAAGTTATCAAATGTCAATGGTAAGGCAAATGAAACCACGACCAAAAGCTATAATCCAGAAACACCTACAATATTAAACAATAAGTTGTGTAATTAATGTGTCCTAAAATAGCTATTAAGATATCAGTAGCGCGGTTTATGCGGTCATTACGCTCTGTTACGCGCCTGCGAAGTTTATTCATCGTGATATAAAACAATCGTTGTGGAGTGATGTGGAATATAATTTAATTATGGCCAATAATTACCAGGACTTTACCAAGTTAATTATGAAAATATAAATGTATTTAATCACACTCTGTATGTATTTAGAAATAAATAAGTACTATCTTTTGCCCGCGGCTC